ATTATTTTTGTTTTCTTTGTGCATAAAAAGTATTCTCGTAGCTTCCTAAAATTACGGTTGAACCCCTGATGTCACATGGATTATTTTACCGATGTCCTTGCTATGTTTCTGAGCCTTGATCATGTAAGGATCCTTGCTGTCTATGGGAGGCTCAGAGAGCTCTTGGAATTCATCAAAATTATCTTAATTTGTGTTCCGAAGATGAACGAAGGTCTTATGGGTTTGGAACGACATGAGGGTGAGTAATTAATGACAGAATTTTCATTTTTGGGTGAGCTACCCCTTTAAATATTTGAACACAGAAAAACGCTGTTAACAGGTTAATGTAACATCTCCCATTCCATGACTAGTAAAATAACGGCAACTTACTCTCTGTATAATATTGAACATGGTTCTCGGAGTAGCTAAGCGTGCTGCGTCGTCTTCTTGTTTGACAGGTGTCACCGTTAAGGCTCAATACTGCCACCTGGGAGGTCAACCAGGTACTGGCTCAGGAGTATTTACGTGTCGTGTTATCATAAGAGTCCTATTCATTTTAAATATTGTGGGTATCGCCAATACTGGTAAATCGCACCCTAAATTAGCACGATGTTGATATTTCATGCTTTGAATATCACAATTATCGTCAATGCCGGTATATTGCGACACTCCTAGTTGGTATATGATATGACAGTAGTTTTTCTCAAATGAAAGGGCCAAATCCTCATGAAGTGACTCTCAGAGCAGCTCTGGAGATGAAGTTGATGTGTTCATGTCCTCATAGAGTGAGACGCAGACGCTGAAAACACAGCAAGGATCACGCATGTGTATATGTGTAGTAGAGAAACTCCATCTGTGCCATTCATTCAACTCCGAGAAACGCAGAACATGCAGGATTCGTATTTTTGCTGTTTAATATTCACCGACACTAGTCCATATTGCTATTTGATATAAGTGTACTGACCTACCTACATTTGATTTATTCATCCAAATTCCGTGAAATTCCACATTCTACAGTAAATACCATTTAAATAACTAGATTCCATGATTCTGGCCATGGCAGAAATCATAGGGCCCTAGTTTATGTGTGCTGAGTGTTTTTTAGCATCTTGCTATGCAGTTTCTTGGGGATGTCTGGGTGGTTGCCAGGGCATTGCTATGTGGTTGGTAAAGTTTGTTGAATAGTTTTGAGCTAGTTGCTACTGTAGGTGCTCTTTGTGGATGCTGAAGTATGTTGCTAGGACATTTCAGGGTGGTTGCTAACTTGCTAATGTGTTCTGATCATTCTAAACCTCAGATTGTTCACACTGACAGCTCTTCATGTAAATGACTGACAGCACAGGTGTCTTGTAGATTTAAGCAGAACAGCAGAATAAGTCTGTTGTGGGATTTGCAGCAGTTTTAAGTCTCCATCTGTCTCTTGATGGAGAGTGTTAGCATGTGCTTGACTATAACTATATATTTTTCTAATAGTAATAGGCGCTATAGAATGCATTTTTCACTCACCAGATAGCGTTTTGTGACATTAGGTGTAGTTGCAGTAATGCTTGACTATGTTTTAATGCTGTACTTCACTTCAGCACAGAATCTGGAATCCCCATAACGCAAACACACACAGTTCCTTTCTCAAATGCAGTCATCCGTCTCCGGACCGGACCAACCTGTTCAACAACCGCTGTCACTGTCGTCTGGTAGATCAAGTGCTGCTTCCCACAATCCCCTGGGGCATCTGTTTATCTTGGAACGTTTTAAACGTTCAGACTAATTTCTTGTAAACTTCTGTATTTGTAAGTTATTTTGAACAAAAGCGTCTGCTAGATCAATACATGAGAATGTATTCAAACTCATCATTTATTCAGATTTGATTTTGAATAGCATGTGCTTGACTATAACTATATATTTTTCTAATAGTAATAGGCGTTATAGAATGCATTTTTCACTCACCAGGAAGCGTTTTGTGACATTAGGTGTAGTTGCAGTAATGCTTGATTATGTTTTAATGCTGTACTTCACTTCAGCACAGCATCTGGAATCCCCATAACGCAAACACACACAGTTCCTTTCTCAAATGCAGTCATCCGTCTCCGGACCGGACCAACCTGTTCAACAACCGCTGTCACTGTCGTCTGGTAGATCAAGTGCTGCTTCCCACAATCCCCTGGGGCATCTGTTTATCTTGGAACGTTTTAAACGTTCAGACTAATTTCTTGTAAACTTCTGTATTTGTAAGTTATTTTGAACAAAAGCGTCTGCTAGATCAATACATGAGAATGTATTCAAACTCATCATTTATTCAGATTTGATTTTGAATAGCAGTTGTATCAGAATTTTAAATGCACATTTAAATCAAATGCTGTTCATAATAGTTTATAATGTACTGATCGTGATTTATTTTTAAATTAACAACTGTGCTTATGTAAAGGCACTATATAAATAACAAATAATAATAATTTAATCATCATTATTATTATTAAACTTAATGATTAAAATGTATTATAAATCATTATTTTAGAATATAATACATTTTTAATAGTAGTAACTATATAAATTAAATGCGCAATTCTGTTTGCTCCTTAAATTCATATTCAATTTAAATTCAGGGATTGATTTGGAATTTAAAAGACATTTTCATTTCAGCTCTGAATGGTTCATGGCACTGGCTGCTGTTGCATGAGTTACACACTGGAGCTTTATTTAACAGGCTAACATAATAAACACCATTTTGCGGCAGAAATAATACTTTTACGGGGTGTGTTATGTGAAGTGATGTCCGTTGCCAGGGGCATAAAACTGTTTTGGCATCTGCACGTTTGTGTTGTGATGCTGTGAAATCCCTTCCCAACTCCAGATGGAGGAAACAGAAGGTACATGAGCTGCGTTTGATCCGGTGGTACAGGAATGGATTTAATGCAGCTTCTTGTCCACACAGATTTATTTAATCAATGGTTTGTCTATAGATTATACTATGAAGGAATTTATTTAGTTGAAATAGCATTCACAGATGATTGAAATAGCAGCTGACTTTTTGATAATTTTTATAACAAATTACAATGACATAATACAATATTTTATAATAATATAATAATTTTTTAAGTAAGTAATAATTTATAATATATGTTATTAATTAAGTTTAATAATAATAATAATAATAATTATTATTATTATTATTATTATTATGTAGTGTTTTTGCAGAAGCTCAAGGTTAATTTCCAGTTGAGTTATGATCAGCTGAATATAAATCAGCATCATTGTAACCAGCATTTACATAGTCTTATAAGAGCTGCTTTAAGTTTTGATTTATTTTTTTACTATTTATTATGTATTGTGTTTTTTTATTATGTAATCATTTGTGTATTTTATAGTTTATAACCAAAAAAAATTATAATCTGCCATTGGACAAATGACAATAACACTTCAGTATCATTATAGATATAATTTTCTTAATATCTATAAAAATATTTATTCTCAGGCAAGTTTTTCTTGTCTAAAATAATTTTTTAGTGGATTTTTATGGAAGCCCATTTCCGCCACAGAATAAAAAAATACAACTATAAATGCGAATTTTTAGCTCTCAATTCTGACTTTTTTTCTTGCAATTCTTGCAATTTTCTTTCCAGAAAAAATTGGAATTGCAATTTATAAACTTTTTTCTTGCAATTCTGAGTTTATAACTTCCCATTGTGAAAAGAAGAGTCTGAATTGTGATATAAACTGAGGGAAATTCTGAGGGGAGAAAAAAAAGTCCGAATTGCAAGATTTAACCTTATAATTGCAAGACATAAACTCCAGAATTGCAATAAATAAATGAATAAATAAATAAAAATAAACCGAAAGAAAGTCATAATTGTGAGATAAAAAGTTGCAGTTGATTTTTTTTTTAATTCCACAGTGGAAACGTGCTTCCATAGATTTCAGCATGTTGATTGAATCTTTCGCTAAGACAAAACTCAGAAGAAATGTATCTTCATTTCACATTTGCAGTTATTGGTAATTGCATCTTTTTTCATTTGTATACTACTCTGTATAAATATCACTCTTGCCTTTCGGATGCAATCATGTCCTGTCAGAAGGCAAGACATGCTGGATAAATGTTTTAAGAAAGCAAGAGCACTGAGGCCTAAGAAGAACTGCAGTCAGCTGACCTCCTGTATCCCAGCATCCCATAAGCCGTCATGACTCATGAGGAGGGTTCGGTGGGGAGGTTTCTAACCGATTTTATTATCCTCCCTCCGACATGTACATGTAGAGTAAGATTATATGTGCTCTGTGTGGATCACTCGATTGCAGGTCAGGCTTAAGTAACACTGACCGTCAGATGATTAAACCAAGTTTAAGCCGCCACACACACACACACACACACTCTTGAACTCAAGGCGAGCAGTTGGGTCATGCTCCGAGCGCGTGAGGCTCTTGTCAGAAGTCATTGTTATTTCCATCAGTCACAGTAACAGCTGACTTCAGCGGCTGGAAGCTCAGAGCCGCTCTTCATCAAAGCGCTTGTTCTACACACATGATAAAACTTAACATCCAAATCCTGCTTTCTCCACCAAAATGTGTACTATCACTTCATGTGTAGCTGAAGATATGAATATGATTAACTTTCTTAGAATCAGAGTATTTTTCTAAATTAATTCATCTGATCCTCTAGTTCAATATGAAGGCGAGGACATAAACATATCCCAGAATCCCCTGCAGCTTGTCCACATACATTATACAATGGTAAAAGGTTTGCTTATTACCAAAGCATTAGTTTGTTCATAAATATGTAGGGGTCCATAATAATATTATTATAGAGTAATATTTAATCTAAGTTTGCTGTGCTTATGGAATGTAGCACAATCTGATTGACCAATTTTATAGTATATATATTTTTCTATATATTGTTATTTATAAATAAATTTATTATTTATAAATTTCAATCTAAACATATTTAAATCTATGCATTTTTTGATACACGTTTTTTATTTATATTTTCATAGTTGGGAATATATATATATATATATATATATATATTACTAAATGGCTGTGTGTCTTTCACAATCATTGTGACCAGGGCCTCATCCAGCTCTTGTTTTCTGGTAGCTAGAAAAAAAAGAGAAGCTGAGTAAATAAAGCATTTTTTACCTTTCTTTCATTTGCATGGTTTACAAAAATCAGGATGGAACAGTGTATAATATTTGTAATGACACACCTTGGCTGGGCCCACATCCATTTCTCTCCTTGTTCTCATGCAATGCACGGTAATGCCTTATCATGGATGAAGTGTTATTATTGTACCCCAATTCCTTAGAGCACAACATACACTTCACCTTTGAATAAAAGATAGTAAGAAATTATGAAATTGAATTTTTTTTTTCTTACAAATACAATGCATTGGTAATAATGTATGTATATATGTACTGTATGTATATATGCCTACCTTGTTAGAAGAAATCTGATCAAAGTATTCCCATACAGGGGAAGTCTTTCTCTTTTTTGCTGGCTCCAAAGAAACAACAAGCAACAATATCAAATAAGCTACACTATCAAATAACCCAAGCTCACCTCTATCACAACCACACATCCCATGGGTTTATATAGCTGTCAAAAAGTCGCGCCAAGATTCGAACCGATTCCTGAACCAGTCCATATTTACGATAAAGCAGATCGCGGAGACATTTTAATCGATCAAAAATCGTCATATGGCACACCCCTAGTTAATTATTAAATGTTATTTATTAAAGTTATTTATTCATTGTAAGTTTTCACTAAACATTTGCACAATGTTATATATATATATATATATATACTGTATATATAGGGCTGTCAGTCGATTAAATTTTTAAAATCTAATTAATTACAGGGTACTGCGATTAATAATCTAATTAATCACAAACTAAATGTGGCTGTGACAATACCCCTAAAAGATAATTTAAAGCTATTGTTGTGATAAATGTTTAGGCTACAACGACCTAACATAAAGTATATAACTTAAAAGAAGATAATTTGAGAAACGAGAAACATCTCAGTGTTTTTTGTTCATGCAATGCAAACAGCTTTGTTACCAACAGTCTTCAAAATAAATGTTTTATGTTGTGCAAAAGAAAGTAAGTCATTCAGGTTTGAAAAAAACATGAGGGTAAGTAAATGATGACAAAATGTATTTATTTATTTTTGGTGAACTATCTAACTATTTTTTTTATTGTTTTAATTCAAGAAAATTATACTCTAAAGAAGAAACTAAAACTACCAGCAGGTGGCGGTAAATGTCTTTGAGTGGATTCGTTCAAACGGCTGATTCATTCAGGAATTCAGTAAACGGCTCTCTTTATGAATATGACTTTGAATCATTGGTTCACACGATTCGTTCAAAACGAGGATTCATTCAGAAAGTAAACACCGCTGTGTTGCTCGGAGACACACAACAGATCTGCGGTGGCTTTATAGGTAATATTTTCGTTGGCAAAATTGAACAAAAACACTATTTTGTTTCAAATATAACACAATATTAACTTCTTATTTACTGAACTATTGCATAAAATCTCATTTGCACTCGTGTTCTTCGTGACAAAAACAGCACTCTTGTGATATTGCTCTCGCTGCTGGTGTGATATCGCTTATCATATGGTATGAATATGAGACAAAAACCTATACAGGGGCGTGTTTTTTGCCACAATATCTTGAATTTTAGGACATAACTGCGTTAATGTTAACTGTGTGTGTGTGTGTGTATTTTATTTCAAGAACTTACGAAAAATAATATTAAATTATGATCCTTTGCCTTAAAATGTCCAAAGAAATGTCAAAAAATCTATAATTTGAACAATTATTTTTATACATTCAATTGCACATTTCAATTACACAGCATTATCAATATTAAATAACTAATAAATAAAAATCCTGTTTAATCTGCTCAGCTTTTTTTCTCTATTTAATCCAAACACATTTTAGGCTTTTTTAACTTTATTTAAACATCACCTGTGACCCTGATCATGTTTCTTTGCAGTTTCTCATGTTGGATGTAGTTTTTCATGGCAATCTGGAAATCTTGTTGATGACCATATATAATTACTAGATGTGTAATGATGGCAAATTAATATGTAATGTTCAGATAATATTTCATTATTTCTGTGGAAATCAACGCTTCATGTTTGCAAGGAGGTAAGAATGTCTCAGCTTCCTTTAGAAATAAGTACGAATGTGTTTTGGAGACAGATATCCATCTAAAGCCTAATCTGCCGGACCCCGGCGAATGATTAGATGAGAATATTGCAGCAGGTTTTCTGTTTGGGTCATTTTTGGCTAAGGTTCACTTTCAGCGCAGCATTGAGTAATGAACCATCGGCACTGCATGGATCTGAGGAGAACGCGATCAATAATCCCATCACACCTAGTGGAACAGGAACGCTGAGTCAGTGTTCGAGAAGTTCTTCAGATAATGTTTGGAAAGGCAGAGGGAGATTAGAGTTTCAAGAACAATCATGACCTTACTTGCATTGACACATTTTCATGTTTTTCTCTATTAGCTATATTATGCTTTTTCTGAAGAGTCTTGAAGTGAAACTTTTACTTGAAGAGAAGTTGGTTATTCATTAAGGAAACAAGTTTGGCTCCACGCAGGCTTTTGTTATATTTAACAGCACACAGCACAATGTGCTGTTATTTAAAGCGCACAGATCTTTTCCTGTGTGTGTGAGAAGACGTTTACAATGAATCCCAGAGCTGAACTCTATTGATTATGTCTGTACGGAAGGATGGATTTCAGCAGTGTGGAGTGATATAATAATGACTCTAATGCCACTGTGTGCTTTTTCTCAGGAGGAAATTGTAGTTTATGTTTCATAGTACTACAGGGTAGTGATACAGACATGATTTAGACTTTGTACAACCCCAATTCTAGAGAAGTTGGGACATTTTGTAAAAATGCAATAAAATCAAGAATCTGTGATTTGTTCATTCTCTTTAACTTTTATTTAATTGACAAAAGTACAAAGAAAAGATTTCCAAAGTTTTCACTGACCACCGTAAATGTATTTTGTAAATATGAACAAATTTTGATTTTGATGGCTTTTTAAGTATTGAATAGTATTTAAGTATTGAAATTCACAGGAATTAAAATCGACGCATATTTGTGCGGTTATTTTAAATCATTTGTTGTTGAATATTATTCCAATTGGTTTGTAATCATAAAACAATATGTGCAAACTTGCTCCACCTTTAAAACATCAAATCATCAAGCCCTTTTATTTTGCAGCTTTTCACCATTCTTTCCCTTACTTTTTGTATTTTAATATCTTGTTTCACTCCAAATACACTACTGTTTAAAAGTTTCTGGTCTGTATGATTTGGGATGTTTTTAAAGAAGGATTAAAAAAATACAATAAAAACAGTAATATTGTGATATTACTGTAATACAGTAATACAGTCTTTACTGTCACTTTTGATACATTTAATATAGTTTTGCTGAATAAAATTATTACCGTATTGTCCCGAATATAAGACGATGTTTTTTTCTTGGAAATACATCTGAAAAAACGCGGTCTGAAGCGGAGGGGTCTTGTATGAAGACGCGAAATATTGATTTGAGTTGAAATTTTTGAACGCAAAGCTTCCGTGAAGACAGCAGTTGCGAGCAAGCGGCAAATTCAAACTAGACGGACATTTAAGAGAAACGTGCAGTCAAACCACTTATTACACAATCTTTTCACCACAAAAATAATTAAGGCAATAAAAGAATTAAGACGAAAATGTTTTAAAACCTTACCAGTTTGTTAGTTCTCTTATAATCCATTACAGCGTACAAAACAATCGTAGCAAAATACAATAAAAACAGTAATATTGTGATATTACTGTAATACAGTAATACAGTCTTTACTGTCACTTTTGATACATTTAATATAGTTTTGCTGAATAAAATTATTACCGTATTGTCCCGAATATAAGACGATGTTTTTTTCTTGGAAATACATCTGAAAAAACGCGGTCGTCTTTTATTCAGGGTCTAGACTTTGACATGTCAATAATAAACCCACAACAATAGGTGGCGCCAAATACGCATAAAACGAGTGTGCCATGAAATACGTAATGTAATGTGTGTTGTAAAGATCGCGAGTAAAAACAAAAGAAAAAGAAAACCTTACAGCTGCATGAATCCTGACTGTCACGTTAGCATGATGGGACCAAACTCCCTTTGTGATTTTAAAACGTAAGACAGTACCCAGATTTGAAGACTACAGTAAGATTGAACTTCTACTGTTAATAAGATTTTGGTAGGCTACTATTAGATGCATAGCCTAAATGTCCTAATTCAGATGGGCTACCAGTTTTTTTTACGAGCAAGCGGCAGATTCAAACTAGACGGACATTTAAGGGAAACGTGCAGTCAAACCACTTATTACACAATCTTTTCACCACAAAAAGAATTAAGGCAATAAAAGAATTAAGACGAAAATGTTTTACAACCTTACCAGTTTGTTAGTTCTCTTATGATCCATTACAGCGTACAAAACAATCGTCGTCTTATAATCAGGGTCGTCTTATATTCGGGCCAATACGGTAATATTTAAAAAACAAAAATACTGACCTCCTAACTTTTCAACAGTAGTTTACATCATATAATGTACATCCAGCCGGTTGTTATCTCAGAATAAACCCCGACAGGGTGATCAGGACCCCGACATGAAGCGGAGGGGTCTTGTATGAAGACGCGAAATATTGATTTGAGTTGAAATTTTTGAACGCAAAGCTTCCGTGAAGACAGCAGTTGCGAGCAAGCGGCAAATTCAAAGCGATACCAGGATGACATAATTAAATAATTGTACACCATTTTGAATCGAGTTTTAATATTTTATTAGCTAAACAAACGCAAAGCTTCCACCAAGAAAAAATTGTTCAAGCAAGAGTACAGCGCCGACTGCTGTTACCCGGATGAGCCTGTGTTATCAGCTTTTACCGGTTGTTATCGAGGGATAGCATACCTCGGAATGTCGCGACTGACCAATCAGAATCAAGTATTCCACAGAGCCGTGTAATAATGAAAAATAAATGGTATTTTACATTGTTTTGAAGTGTTTGTTTCTCAATGACCTATCAACTCTCCTTAAAAGACATCTTAAGGTAGTTTAGCTGGTCTGAGCATGTTCTGGCTGGTCTGTTGAAGGTTTTAGAGAGGTTCTGGGCACTTTTTAGCACTGGAAGCCTATCTTAAACCAGCTTAGACCAGCGTGTGTTTTCAGCAGGAGTAGGGGATTTGAACATCTGCGTCTGTCTGAAGTGAGTTGCATTGTTAATCTGAAGGTCTGTGTTTGTCGTTAAACACTTCTGCGGTTTCTTTTCTGTGCCCGCGACTGTCATTACAATACCAGGTTTCAATTACAGAAGTGCAGATAAGAGTGAACTTCAGCCTCTTCAGAGTGTGGTTTATCTTCAACCCGGCTATTCTTTCCACTGTAGAGCCGATAATGAGGATTTAGCTATTATCTTTTCATTTTCCCGTGTTGGCAATTTGAACCATTAAGAAAGAATCCATGAAGTCCACTTCACATTAATGAACGCCTTTGAGATATTGTAGCTTAATTTATTTAACTAATATACATTCTGTGATTTTAAAGTCTCTATGTGGCCACTGATTAATAAATCTCTCACTTTCTCTCTTCATAACAGGTAACAGAGGTGTGCGGTGCTAAGCGGCTTGGCTATTTCGGCTGTGGA